CCTAGAAATTAAGTATATCCTCTCTGCCATGTACTCATTACTTCTCCAGGCTCAGCTGCCTCTTATCTTACTATAGGCCAGTGTGAGTGTCTTCATTCTGTCTCCAACTATCATTCCCCTATGCCAGTGATGGCTAACCTTTTTGTTGTTGGGTGCCAAAAATGCAAGTGCGCATGTGTGATAGTGCGCTTGTGTGCCAGTACCCATAATGCAAAGTGCACCCCCACATACGCATGCGCGCACAATCTACCACCCTATGTTGGCCACACTGCTTGCCTCCAAACTGAGCTTGGTATTTCTTCCGGGGCCCAGGGGAGGCTGTTTTCACCCTCCCCAGGCCTCAAAAAAGCCTCCAGAGCCTAGGAAGAGTGAAAAACAGGCCTGTTGGGCCTACCAGAAGTTCAGAAACAATCCGTTTCTGGCTTCCAGACGGCCTCTGGGGGAGGCTGTTTTCGCCCTCCCCAGGCTTCAGGAAAGCCTTTAGAGCCTGGGAAGGGCAAAAAACAGACCCGTTGGGCCTACTGGAAATTCAGAAAGGAAAATCAGCTAGCTGCTGTGCACATGTGCACTGGAGCTGATGGCACGCGTGCCATAGGTTTGCCATCATGGCCCTATGCCATTACAAGATCTTGCCCTTTATCAGATTCATTACTTATTTCCATACATATCCAACTTGACACCATCCAGAATGTCTATTCCCAGAACCTTTAGCTGGGAAGTGCAAATTCCTTGTTTATCTAATCATATTTGGCCAAGTAAAGTCTTCCCTCCCCCTCCCCTCCCATTCCATTATTACCTCATGGTGTATTTTGTCCATTGACAATTGTGGTATGGAGAAAAAGACAAAATCTCAACAACTACTATATCTGCAGTAACAATGGTAGCTAAAGCTTTAGCAGAGAGTTTAGCACTTTCCTTAGCACAATTGTCTCGTTTGAATAAAGTGATACTTTCTCTTAAAATATAATCCAGTAGTCATGCAGGCGTGAGTTACAGGAGTTATAATCTATGCTGGCAGGTTCAGGAAAAGTTCACTGAATCTAGTTCAGTTGACATTAAATAGGTGTATGTTTCTATAGGAAGGGGAAACCACAGTTCCTGCAGTTTATTCAGCAGCTAGCCCGAATGTAGGTGGATAATCTCATAATCTCTCCGTTATTCAGAGAGGTTTGACTGGCCAGAATTCCTAACCACCAACTTCACTGCAATTCCATCTCTGCTCTCTTGGAGGAAGCTAGTTTACTATGAATACTCACTATCAGTTTTTTGGGTCTGAGTTGTGAGATTTCCGTCAAGCTCATGCCTGCAATCTAACCTTATGGACACAAAGTTCTGCGGAACCTCATATTTTAAACAATTTTGGAAAATGCTTATTAGCTGCTTTTCAACTATTAAGAACCCTTCAGTCAATACATTTTATAATGTGTGAGTTTCCTTTAATCTTTAACAAAAGAACTTTTAAAGATCAGTTTAAGGACATAAGAAACCCACTTTTTTTTTTGAATAAACAGCAAACGAGTGATTAGAATGATAATTTTGGAAAGTTATAAATGAACTAAGGATCCAGATATATTTGTTAAGATTTTGAAATAAATCATAAAAATCCTTCCTGTCAAAAATGTTGTTTTGAATTCCTAAAAGAAAGTATATAGCATAGGATTCTGAATATTGGATACTAGAGGAAACCAGAAGGAACTAAAGATTACAATTAAAGGAAAATTTAAATTTGACTTGATAATACAGAATGGAGCAAAATATTTTAATCCTGGACATACTGGAAGATATTTGTAAGAAATGGATCCAGAATTTAATTTTAAACATGCCTGCCATTATATACTGCTTCATGGTGCTTTACAGTCCTCTCTAAGCAGTTTACAGAATCAGTATATTTCCCCCAAAAATCTGGATCCTCATTTTACCGACCTTGGAAGGATGGAAAGCTGAGTCAACCTTGAGCCTGGTGAGATTCGATCTGCCAAACTGCAGGCAGCTGGTGATCAGCAGAAGTAGCCTGCAGTACTGCACTCTAAGCACTGCGCCACCACAGCTCAATATACAATTGTTACCAGACAAGGTTGACCTGAAATAAAATTTAAAAATGACAAGTTACAAGAATGATATGGAAAATAATGTTATACTGCATATACAAAGGAAATGTTTTAATAATTTTAATTAATAATTAAAATGTTTTAGTAAGCTGATGTTTCAATAATTAAAAGGGGTGAACAAACAGCAAAACAAAAGATAACTCAAATAATTTTTCATGTTGGATTTACAAAAGAGATCTGTTAGAGTTCTGAAGGATTTTGTGAGAACAGACAAAAAAGAAAACAAATTCAAGGGTTCTATTTGAAGGGATTAAAGATCAAGATTGTTAAGAGTAAAAGGAAGGAATAAAGGTGAGTTTATTTAATAAAGATTGAAACAGAAATGTTTTTATTTCTGGTAATCTACTTCTGCTGATCAGGACTGAATTATAAGATTAAAATGATCTGCTTATAGATAAGAAAGGAGATATGGGATGCAGAGATTTTTTCTTATATTTTAAGAGAAGGTGATAAGTTGATAAACATGTTTATATTTGGGATGAAGGGGAAAGCAATTTATATGCTTCTCTTTTTTATCTTTTCTGTTTTTCTGTCTATAATATTTTTATGCACTTTCTAATTTTTATTATTTTATTTTATGTAGTTTGTATTTGTGAAAAAAAAGGAAGGGATGCATTTGTGGTTATTCCCCTGTGCTTGCAATAAGGGAAAATACTTTTTTTGCTTAATGAAAAACAGAGCAATTAGTGTATATTTCAGACACAACCCTCTATTTCTGCAGGATGCCTTAAAAAGGTTTGCGTAAGAAATAAACATTTGTGTCTCTTTTTAAAGCTGCTTTACATTTGGTCTTTTACTGTAAGCATTAACATTCCATGAATAGAAAGAAGGCACCAAATCACACTTCATTTTTTTATTTTAACATTTCAGGGCTGCCCATCTATAGGGAATGTTTTGCAGTTCAGAAATTAAGAAGTATTTTTCCTCCTTTCACCTTATTAGGAGTTATATATTTTTTTTCAAAGAAATTATTTGGAAATTTGAAAATATTAAATCAAGAATTGTCAATATGCAATGGCACCTCAGAAGTCTCCAATTCTAGCTAGGAGGCGAGTGAGAAGAGGAAATGATCTATAGTCTAACATTAAAAGTTTGCAAGAGAATATGTACAGTCTTCTTAAGTGTAGCTGAAAAGGAGGACCTTTGTAAGTATAGTTGAAAAAAAGGCGATCAGCACAAAAATGAACTGGATTCCACCAACCTTGGGGAGGGAACTGATAGTTTTCCAAGCACTTAACTGGTTTTACTTGTGATACTCCTGCAATGTTTCTTCTGATACACAAATGCATGACCTTTGTTATCCCATCATAGTTCCACAGTAAATGTCAGAATACCATAGTGTTGATTGTATTTGTGTTCAGTTTTGAATGGGGTGGTAGTAGGAAGAGGTGAATAATTTTCCTCATGCCCGGCCAGGAGCTCAAGCCAGAATACTTTGGGTATGCCTACATATTATATAGCAATAGCAATAGCAGTAGACTTATATACCGCTTCATAGGCCTTTCAGGCCTCTCTAAGCGGTTTA